TATTTACAGAGGATGGCCTCAGTCACTCGAGGATGCTTTTCATGAGGGTCCTCTATTAAACTAATTATATCGATTTACTAAAACATTACAAAATTAAAAAAGTTCATCATAGTGAATAAAGTCAGTTCACATTGTCCAAAACCTTTGTTTAAAAATATTAAAAGTTCCTGCCAACTTAATGTTTCTGTCCAGTTTATTCCAGTTATCAACAAACAGATAGGATGACACTTGCTTCCCCCAATTTGTCCTTACTTTAGATGGATGGTATTTCTCTTTGTTCCTTGTCTGGATGTTATGCAAATCGTGTCCTGTTTTATTGCTGAAAGTGTAACTTATATCGTTTTTTTCGACTTGTAAATGGTGGCACATCGATGGAACTTTCGTCTGATATCTAGAGATTTCCAGTGCAGTAAATTTAATGCCTTTGTGCTTGAGTCATTTCGTTTCATGTTCAATACCAGTTTGGCGCATTTGTTATGAAGAACTTGCAGAGTCTTCATCAAACATTGGTTGTTTCTATCCCCCCAAATAGTATCTCCATAATCAAACAATGGTATTATCATAGTATTTACCAAAGTTAAACGTTGTGCCCTGGGGATTAGATGACTAATTCTTTTTAACAAACCTATTTTTTTTTCTACATTTTGCTGCAATGAAGCAATGTGATCCCCCCATGTCATATTTTCATTTATTATAATACCAAGATATTTATAACTTGTTTCTCGACTTAGTTCGTCCTCTTTGATCTTCAATGACATATCTTTGAAACGCTTTAACTGCTGCTTTCCTCCAATCACAACAAACTTTGATTTAGAGATGTTTAACGTCATTCGATGGTCGTTTAGCCATTCTTTCACTAAAGCCAAATCCTCATTCATCTTTTTTTGGATTTCATTACAGTTTTTCCCCGAGTAATAGATTACTGAGTCATCTGCAAACAAGATTGTGTTCGAGTATTTTAATGATAACGGCAAGTCGTTGATAAAAACAAGAAAAGTAAGAGACCTAAAACTGATCCTTGAGGTACTCCAATCGTTACGTTTCGTTTCAGTGAGAGAGCGTCCCCAACCGACGTTTGCTGTGATCTCTGACTAAGATAGGAGCGAAACCATTTTAGACAAGCTGTAGAAACACCATATTCTGTCAATTTCAAAAGCAACAAAGAATGATCGACTGTGTCGAAGACTTTTTTCAAATCTAAGTACACAACACCAGATACATGACCTTTGTCCATGCTTTCAAGGAGGCTGTCCGTAAATTGTAAAAGAGCAGAGCTTGTAGACATTTTGTTTCTAAATCCGAACTGATCTTTGAAGAGGAGATTGTTTACTTGCAAGAATTCGTAAAACTGCTTATGAACTGCTCGCTCGATTATCTTGCTTATTGTAGGTAAGATGGAAATGGGTCTGTAATTGTCACAGTTACTCTTATCTCCACTCTTGAATAAAGCTACAACTTTTGCCGATTTCCAGTTTTTGGGAAATTTGCCTTCAAGAAATTATTTGTTTATTAGGGCTTGTAGGGATGGTGCAATGATGTCAGCGGAGTCCCCGCAAACTAATACTTCGAGCTTCGAACGAAAGGTAAGAATTGCATAAGTTGCTGTTAACGCCTTTAAACTATAAATGAAAAATGAACGACTGGAAGTTTAAAAATGGGAATAAAAGTACACAATGGTTTGGAGAAATTTTCATCTATCTTGAATTTGACGTAACGGACAAATGAGTTTTGCTAAATTAAATAAACACTGTATACTGTATCGATTATTTAAAGGGTCCATTATATAAAGTAAGTGAGGTTAATTTGTTCCTAAGCACTGAATGCATTAAGCAAAGTTTCAGGGTTCTAAATTTCTGCACCAGATATTGTGGCAACAGTGGGACAAAGCCAGTGTAGAACCTGGCCGCACTGGAATGGTGCTAGTGTCTATAAACTATTCTTTCAATTTGACGGTGCTAGTGTCATTTGACGTTTTGAAGAGATTCAACTGCAGATCTGATCAAAGGTGAAACATGTTTCTTAGTCAATGCAAGGTTTCAACGTTGCTCCTTCTATGAGGCTCAACAGAAGAACATGTCTTATTAATGCTGTTTGCATGTTCCCTTCCCTTAGGTAACATAATTCATCAGTTGAAAGACTTTATTCCTTTTGGGAATACTTTTGAGCGTTTTAATCTTATGCGTCATCTCAGTGGAAAACAATGGCAAGAAGCTATCTTCTCTCTGTTTTTAGCTAGTGATAATAACAGCTATTTCTTTCAACTTGCAGAAAATAGACGTTCGAAGAAATGCCCTTATAGGTTTTATGTTCCTCTTTATCAAAATATTCTTACTTTTAAATCTAGCTAGTGGATTGATCAAATATGAACCAATTTTTTTAAGGAAATTTCAAAATCTCCTAGTCCTAGACTGGCTCACTAAATCAAGCATTGTAGAAGAAAATTCTATGAATCGTTATCAACGGGAAGTACCCTATGTGGGTCAGTCCACACCTTATCTGACAACGAGCTCGATTTAAAATTCAAAACACCTGAGTACCTATCCCACCTAAGTGAATACATACAGTACTTTCTAGCTGTGGTTCATTTTGGGCAGTTTTAGGCCTGTGGTATGCGAAATTTGACTTGAGGCAATTAGCTATGATGCGTTTCTTCTGCGAAAAACTTCACAAGAGATTTTATTATATGGAACAATACAACAAGGGGTGCCATATTGCTCACGAGATTTGAAAGGAGTACGGCGATCAATGTCTCTATGTTCGACCTGCAGCGACAAATGAAGTAAAATACCAGTCACACCCTGCTGCACTATTCTCCCATTAGGCAATCAGTATGCAGACTAACACCAACAATACTCAAAGAAGTAATCGTTGTCAACAAAGTTTGATAAATCTCTTACGGTATTTTACATCGCAAGGTGTAAGCTGCCAGGGAGCTCAATGAGGCACATAAGAGAGTACCTAATATATTATTCGAGGAAAGGGAATCTTTATTTCTTGGCCTCAGGAATCAGGATTTGGTAAATTTTTGTGAACGGGAATCGATAACACCTTGATTTGGGCATTGATGGTCGGGAATAGGGAATTGTAGTAAAAAGGTAACGTGAATTCGGTAATAAAGGACTTTTTGGACACCCTCCCATAACGAAATCAAACAATTGCAATCCTTTTTTCTAGAATACGCTAAGAGGGTCACTTTTTCTAGATTACTCAATAATGTGGCGTTGGAGATTGCGAACAGTATTTTGAATCGCTATATTAGACTGTTTGAATCGCTATATTAGTCTGTTATTGCTTGACAAACATTTCTACGTTCAATCTTTGAAATGTCTTGTGAAATCTTGGTATCCTCTGCCTGAATCACATAAGAACATGCTGCAATACTCCCCCTGTAGTTTCATTAAAATATGCACCCGTTCATTAAATTATTTATACCCTGAAATGAACCAAGATACTTTTTGAATAAGAACTTGATTCAGCAAAGCTTAGGTAAAGTGTGTTCTCATATACAGGAATACTACATGCCAGTACTACATCTCAAGAGATCATTAGTACCTTTTTGTCGATATCACTTCCATAGGAATCGTCCCAGAATTAAACAAGTTAAATTTGAAATTAGAATACGTTCAGCAATGCTGTGGGGTGATAACATTGAAAAATTCGGATAGTCTATATTTTGTTTTCTATCTTTTAGATATTTTTGGTAGCAAGACTATTACAATGAACAATCTGCTAGGGTAAGAATATTTCCTTTTAATTTTTATATTTTGAATCGTCACTTTGATTTATGATTGCTCTCTTTCATCTAGTTCCAAAATATAAATTATTTGAAATTGCTATTAAGATGCAAAGATGGCTAGAGATCTCATCGAAAAATAGTTTAAGATTAAACAAAACATTATTGTGACATTAAAACCAGTTATGGCTTTTCCTTACGTACCGCAGGCAAAAGGCTCAACCAAGTCTCCGTAGGCTCGGCAAGTACATCGGCTGAAATTATTGGAAAAGTAAAATTTGCTGTTCATACCCATTTTGCGTAATTAAGGCTGATACATTTTTCTACTTATGGGCATTTTTATTATCAAAGCTTATACATGTAACTTGCATGCAGCCTTGGTCCCTCTTTTAAAAACATAGGCTTTAAAAATGCAGGTCATCCGCAAAACCCATGATACCCGAGTGTAGACTTAAAAAGCATGAAAATTATGTGACAACTATTGCCTAGCCCGTTTTTGTTAATCAAAGGAGGCCTTCTGTTCGAAAATGTCAGCTGAGTAAAAAGATTTGAAATCTTCATTATGGTTTAAATAAGATAACTGTCTCTATCATGGAACAGTGATGGCAAAGTTTCAGAAGCACTAGCTTACTCCCCTCCTCGTGTTTTTATTTGCAGGTTGGCTTTGGTTTTCAATTTCTTGCTAACAGTAAATGTATCCCGTGCATGATTGATGCTGTATTTGATGTTGTTTTTATCGACAAACGCTTACAAGGAGACAGTCTGGCTGTTTTCAACAGCATTGATGACCAAGGATGCACGTTGAAATGCTCAGAGAACCATAAATGTACATCATACAATTATCAATGGATGGACAAAACATGTGAAATTCATCAAAAGCATGTGCAACAGGATAATAGCACCGATTTACTGGATGCCAATGGTTGGATTTTCAAAACAACCAACTACAGTAATAAACTTGTAAGTGTTGTTCAATTATCCATAGCATAGCATAGCATAGCATAGCATAGCATAGCATAGCATAGCATAGAATAGCATAGCATAGCATAGCATAGCATAGCATAGCATAGCATAGCATAGCTTAGCATAGCATAGCATAGCATAGCTTAGCATAGCATAGCATAGCATAGCATAGCATAGCATAGCATAGCATAGCATAGCAAAGCATAGCATAGCATAGCATAGCATAGCATAGCATAGCATAGCATAGCATTGCAATGCCAACTTTGGGGATATTTTGCTAATAACACTTTTTTAACTTTCTAAGATTGGGCCAACGTGCAACAGCCTGAAGCCTTGCGATCCGGAAGATTTATGTCTGGATACATGCAGCCCGCCTTTCTATGAGTGCATTCATTGTCAGTCTCATTATCCTGAGCTCAAGTGTATAAAGCAGGCAGGTAGGTTATTGAAATAAAGCTGTTGTTTCTACCTATGCGTTGAATGCAAGAAGAAAATTATAAAGTCGAAAATTTGAAAACATTAGCCCGTCCGATTTTTCTACCAAAGAACTACGGACTTTTTAGGTAATATTTAATTATCTGTTTCGTTTTGATTTTGAAAATTTTGGTAAAGAATTTTACAAAGCATTCGATTTTTGACTAAATTTTATCAAGCTAATTATAGAGAAATTCCTGAAGAGAATGATTTTTTAATTTTCCTAGACGTGGATGCCTGTGCTAGCAACCCTTGCAAACATGCTTCACAATGCTTGAACAAAAGTTCGGATTATAAATGCACTTGTCTTGAGGGATATACAGGGAAAAATTGCGATATAGGTACGAGTCTTGGTTATTTATTCATTAGTTTGCTTTACTGAATCCCTTGTCAGGTTATATTCTGTTGTGCAATAATTCATATAATATAATGTAATGACATTTCGAATATCGATTTTGATAACATGCAATATTATATTCGATATAATTGCGAAATAAAGTATTTTTGCTTTCCTAAGTTGCTCTAGACATGCCAAAATGTGACTTGTGTTAGCTCTTAGCACAATTTTATTAGGTCCCTCATTAAAAACTAGATTACTAGAATACATATTCTATCACATGTCATACCTTTACAACAATAACGAGAAAACGGTATAAAATATTGGAAAGTTCATATGCTTGTCAGGAGCCTAGGTAAATAGACAAATATTAAGTACGAATATTCACATTTGCTTTCCATCGCCACATTAATACAAATATATGGCAGATTATGTCTTTTTTCCAAATATTTTTGGTAGATTATTTTCAAAATTTGTGAAAATTAGAACAAATTCACTATAACGAGCCAAAAAATTGCAAGATTTTCCTTTTTCTTCTCTTGAAACTCGTGGAAGGGAGTCTATGCTGCCCTAAAACGCCATTTACTGTCCATGCAGCTCTAAGACACCCATAACCAGAATAATGGGTGCTCCTTCTCTTCATTTTCANATAAACTTTCTTGCGTATTGCGTTTGAAAAGATTCGAAGGGGATTCCCGCAAAGCTTTGTTACAGATGTTGGCGGTTCGGTTCTCGGCATTCATGTTGGCCGCAAAGCAAACTTTGGTTCCTGCTTGACATCAATCTATTTTGATCGTGAGTTGATGGAGACAGCGTTTGCAAAAATGTTTTTCTGATAAAGACATTCTGTTTCTTTAGCTCGGAAGTTTCTGTTACGGCTGGTTTACGTGGCCATAAGCCCTCCGATTTGCGGTTAGGATGTGTTGTTGTACTAAGCAACAGGTAGTTTCAGCAAGGACAGACAAAGAAGTAAAAACATTTTTTCGAACCCGATCGAATTGCTTAAATTTGCACTGAATTTTCCAGTCGTGACAATTGCTTGTGAATCTTTATCTGTGAATCTTTTGAGAAGTCGACGGTTTTCCATTTATTCGTCTAGTTTTTCTTATCAGATTTTCTGTGAAAATTTGAAAAAAATTCATTCCATGCATTTTTGTTAGAAACTTAGCTCGGTACACTTTTTTTACAAAAGCAACCCTTATAAGACACATCAAGCCGAGATTTGCCCAAAAAGTAAGAGCAACACAAGGAACAGGGTAGGGTATTCAGCAAACATCGGAGCCAAATGTTCTTTAGAAAAAGCGCGTATTAGTACTCAGTTTGGTAGTTTCTCGATTAACTTTGGTACGAAAAGCCCCTCAAAAGTTTCTTAAATATCAATGTGCTTAGAAATATTTTTGAATAGAAAAATAACACACAAAAGTAAGGTGAGAAAAGCGCTTCCAGTGTGAGAACAAAAGGTCTTCTGGAAGGTCTAGATGCGAAGAGTATAAAACACTAAAAAAGGAAATAACATAGCAAAGCATAAACACGTAAGATGTAACATAACATAACATAACATTAAATAAGATAACAAAACATAACATGACTTAACATAACATAGGATAACATACATAACATAACATAACATTACATAACAAAACATAACATAACATAGGATAACATTACATAACAAAACATAACTTAACATAACATAACATAACATAACATAACATAACATAACATAACATAACATAACAACATAACATAAAATAACATAACATAACATAACATAACATTAGCATAGCATAGCATAGCATAGCATAGCATAGCATAGCATAGCATAGCATAGCATAGCATAGCATAGCATAGCATAGCATAGCATAGCATAGCATAGCATAGCATAGCATAGCATAGCATATCATAGCATAGCATAGCATAGCATGTCTGTTTCTTCTGCAAGTCAGTTTTATGTCGTGGTCCAGGAATTGTTTGCATGTCTCTATCCAGGCTCTTTCAGGGACCTAAAGACTGGGTAGAGGCACCAATCCAATACTGTGTCGTGCTAGCAGAATTTTCTGTGCATCGAAAGTCTTTATTTACGGTTCCATAATATCCAAAATTATCTTCATTGAGGATGGACCCCGGCTTGGCAAGAACGAAACAAGAATCATAGCTAGAATCAGTGCAAAAAAATAGGTCCCATCTTTGCCAAAACTTGACGAGCTGGCCAGTTGCACTGTATCCTCGAATATTGATTAATTCAACAGTCCTGCACTCACCATACGTGTTATAAGTAAGGGGGTTTATTTCACTTAGCTTTGCCCTCACGTAATCTCGATAATCGACACCATATCCAGGGTAACTGCATGTAGCCCTCCAATGCGTCGAGACTGATGATACATATTCCATAACGGAGAACGCAAGTCTGAAAAACAGGTTAGAAATTTCATCAGATTTTTGCATAGTGTTACAAACATGAAATTCTAGAAGAATACATAGTACAGTCTCTCTTTTCCATCAATCTTCATTCAGCCTCGTCTCCATCAGTTTTTCTTAGCCTTGTTACCGTTGTCATGAATTATACTGTACCCTGAATTAAAATGTACCTTAGTACATTTTTGCTATTGCCCTAGTGTAGATCCGGTGCGAGGTTACTAGCGGGCACGTGGTAGGTCGCAATTGATGATTTGTCTTTCTTTTCACTCCAACATTCCGACCAGAGCAAGCGTTTTTTGTATTTGGGTAAGGTTTTGTGTTTTTCAACAATATTTGTATATTTACTTATGCAATTTCCAATTTTTGTGTGTTCTAGAACGAACTAGTGAGTTCAGCGACCTAACAGAACGACCTAGTGAGTTTGACGACCTAAACAGAATGATCTAGTTCCTTCCTTCCTCTCATCTCTTTCCTGCTCGAAGCTATTTCGTTTCTTACTGATTCTTCAATTAGAGCTTAGCTCCCAAATAAGTTTCACAAAGAGGGGTTTCTAACCAGATGTAAATTTAAGCTAAATAGATTTCATCACATAATGATACCTTTTACTAAGGTAATCAAACTTTGCAATCAGATAAGTGTGGGAGTGGCATTGAGGAAGTTTGATTTTATATGCGTGGCCTGTGAATATTTATGTAATTTCATATGCTAAATGTTGCTGTACACCCAATAAATCCTATGAAAATGGACTAATTCTTTAAACTGGCAAATTTAAATATAATTAGTTATCGCTTAATGCATGGTTGTTATATTCCGAAATTTTTGAATGTGTTAGCATAGTAAGCCTCTTCTAGTGTTCTTTTAGGTTATGGTGGAATTTAAATAAATTTCGTTTGCTGTAATTCAATCAATCTATTCTCATTCAACTGTGAATTACATCATCTGTCAATATATCTTTGAATATAGGTCTTGGACAAACCTTGTAAAATTCTTGAACATTACAAATTCATTTAAACGACTGTCACGTTATTTTTTTGGCAATTGCTAATATTTCATTACCAAATCCATTTTCAAAACCTTGGCTGTTGTAGAACACATTGTTTTATGTATACATTTAGTGCAAAAAATTTGTCTGATAATTTTTGTCACAGGAAATATTTTTGATCAAACTGAGCATGCATAATATTTACTGATTGAAGTAACGAATATCAAATGATATCTGTATCTGTATTGCTACAAAATTTTGAAAACAATTGGTTATCCAATCTAAAAGAAATTCTAATAGAAATATTAGTCTAAACAAAAAGTAACATCGTTCTCGCTGGCTTTCAAATAACGCTGTCACTGACAGTTTGTTACTGGAAGTTTCTTGACAATTATCAAATTTTCAGTACAGAGAGTTTCTTACAAGTTTAAAAAAAGTTCAATAGCATTCTTAAAAAATATATGTGAATGAATAACCTGTCACAGTTATTTGTTTATTTTAAAAACCTGAAATAGTTTTATCTTAGAAATCCAAAGGACTGGTCAATATAGGCCAAAAGTTTATTTGTCCGAAAGGCCAAAAATGTTTCCGCAAATGTTTTTGCCAAAGTTTATTGTCCGTAATATTATCCGATGAAAATTTTTGTACTTAACGTAGAATATAGACGGATCTAGACAAAATGGAAATTATTTATGATAATGTTTTAACCTTCAGTTTTGGTGCCACAGCCTTAATATCATACTTTAGCAAAAGGTGAAAGGGTTACAGCCCCCAGACCCTCAATCCCCTCGGCCACAGCCAGCCTGTGAACGTTTGATCACTGGGTAAAATCTAGCACTTACAAGAAGGCTCGGAGCCAAGCCCTTGATTTTGCTGCGCAGATTTTCTGCAAAACAGAAGAGTTTTCTTGCAAAATATTTTGCTGTTAATATTTAATGAACGAGTTGCCGATTTTGATTGTCAAATAACATCACAAGAAGGCAAAAATCCTTGGCTCTATTTCTAAAACTGAAAAATAGTGACAATCAATGTGGAAATATAAAAAATCTTAAAGAAATCGAAAAAGAATTGATAAAATTATATATCCACCTGTAACTATTCCAGTTAGGCTCATACTCGGAAATTGGATCGTTGTCGTAGAGTGGTTTATTTTTGAAAAGGTAATTGTTTGCCAAGGAGAAGGAAGTGACAAGAGTCCATACGAAATTAGGTTCCGAACTGAAATCGCAGTAGACGTGGTGTATGAGGCCAGTTCCATTAATAGCATAAATACCGTTATTCCTTGCACCAATGCGGTACCAATGCACACATGATGTTTTGTTTGCTAAAGAAACAGCTTTAAATTAAATTTGAATCAAGAAATCATTAGTAAATGTGACATTAGATATATTTTTAAATTATATTAGAGCGGATCCAGAACAAGTCTTGAATGCCTCTTCTTAAATAAAGGGGGTGAGGGGTAACATTGCCAAATAAACAATTTCTGTCGGTATTACTAAACCGAGCAATGTTCCCGTTCAATTATTGTCCATTGATATGGATGTTATTTGGTAAAAGAAGTCATTATAAGCTAGAGAAAATTAACGAGAGGGCTTTAAGACTAGCCTATTCGGACAACACAAATTTTTTAATAAGAAACAAAGGTCGATGTTGAGTACTCCAGTTTCTTAATGTTCTGGAAATTTCAATACTCATTGTTTCTCAAGATTTTTCTTAATTATGATGTCATGTATGATGTTATGAAATGTTCGTGACCTTTTTTATCACGTCAAGAGATTCGCTTCCGTTCCGATGCTGTATTTAGATCTGGGAAGTATATTTTTATCCGTTGTGTCTTAAGTTCTAGGCCAACAGGGCAATCTTGTTCTTGGATTTTATAAAATTTCGTTGTTCTCAGTTTTATCACGTTTTATCACCAGGGGCGGATCCAGGATTTTTGGTGACTATAGCTCAAATCTTTTGGGATCGGGACCACGCCCTCCTTGCTTGTGGGACACGCCCACTTTATGGGCAAATGATATAACCATGTGTGTTTATAGTTGTTTTGTATTCATTAATATTTCTTCGAGCATCCTTTTTCTATTTCCAGGGACGGCAGAGAAGGGGGTGTGGGGGTACAACCGCCCCTGTTGCCCTTTGACAGAAGGGGCAAGGGTTGTTTTTAATAAAGTTCCCTTGAAACTGGCCAATTGTAATAATCAGAGAAATTCATATAAAATTCTGAACTTCTCAAAACATGTGAAATAATTCCTTATGCCGAAAGTTAGCCAATGTTGAAGATACCTACAGATGATAGAAATAAAATTGCAGTTACGTATGAATTTGTAGAAGCTGAGACTTATCTTTCAAAAGCCCTTTTACTCGCGCCTGCCCCCCCCCCACTCTTGCCGCTTGGTCGTTCCGCCGTCCCTGTCTATTCCCTAGTAGGTCCTTGCCTTTGAAGCTACATTATAGGGGACCCAGGATGTGAAAATGAGCTATAGTCCACTGTTGCTTTACAGGGGACAGAGAGCGAAGAAGTACCGCGGATACTCATATTCTATTGGTTAAAAGGCCATTTTCAAATCTGACTATAGCTTCACTATAGCTCGGGCCAAAAATTATAGTACGGGTTTCATTGTCTTCGATGTCTTTTCCAGAGCAAATTCCCAGACTGACTATAGCTCGGAATATCCAGTGTAGCTCAATTCTGGTTGGTTACTGTCAACAAAGAAAAAAACTTCTGATTCGTCTAAGTTTTAATATTAGACCATTCTGCGCTCAGTGTTTTATATCTTATCTGGAGAGGCATTGTGATGACACATTGCCAGCATTTTATGTTTGTTAATCCCATTTGATAACCTATACCGCTGCTTTCAAATGTTGATAGAAAACACTTGTGGGCATAAAAACATTTTTAGGGACTGCAAGGAAACTTTGTATTTCGAAAATCAAACACTGAGAATTTGACTATAGCTCAAGCTACAGTTGCTATAGTCTGGATCCGCTCCTGTCACGGTTTCTTTATTCTTTTGCTTCGAGTACTGAAGATTCTTAATTTCTTCTGACTGTCCAGTACTCGTTTCTTATAGCCAGTTTCTTATAAAAAAATGAGAGTATTTCAAAGATTCGTACAAAGATTTACTTGCTCACTCAAAAGAAACTACCATACATGTCCAATTAGCTAGAATTTTAGCGCTCAAAGTTTATAAAACACTTAACAACCTTAATCCTGTTTTCATGAAAGACTATTTTGTACCCAAAACAACAGGTCATAACCTTCGACTCAAAAACCCCCTTGACATCCTTGACATTCCAAAAACCAGAACTACCAATAATGGTATCAGATCTTTAAGTTTTCAAGGGCCTAAAATCTGGAATTCACTCCCGGAATCAACAAAGACAGCACAAAATACTAGACAAATTAAGAATTTGATTCCAAGGTTCTCTCAACCAGTCATATTTGTAAACAGTGAATCTACAATCTAGATTCCAATATAAACGATTACTAAACGATATCCATATATTCTCGAAACATATTCAATTTTTATTCCATACACGCGTTCGTGTTCCAATCGATAAAGAGAACCATCTGTATTCAAGCAATCCAACAATCAAAGTCCTATCAATGAAAGTTCCCCAACCTCGAATCAATCCCTTTATATACCTCACGGAAATGAACTAAACAATACTCATTATTTTCAACGTGTCCTCCGCAGAGTCTTCATGTTTTCTAACAGGGGGCCAGAAGGGCGGAGTCTCTGGACAACTTTGCCGCGCCCTATAGTTCTTCAGAAACGCCCACTTTGAGTAAATATACACGGGAACCGCAAATTATTACACTGATAAATGTAACCTTTTCCATTTCGTGCAATTAAAAATGTGTTTTTAAAACAATCACCCCTTATTGCATCCCTCGTTTCTCTGGAAAATTTATGACAATGAAATACTGTTACCAATGACGCCGGAGCAAGGAAGTGGTTGCCCTCGTGAAATTTTACAATTTTTATTTTGCTATCGTTTTGCCCTATTCCGTGGTGCTTTGTCACCCCTTCCCGCACACAGATCTTCCAGCATTGTTGATTGTTTCGGTATTGCTTACTAAAACATACTGTAGAGCTAATATGCACCTTACTCATTTTTTTAATTAAAAAACATTGGTTGTTATAAAACGAGAACTGGACAATTGGAAAAAATCTTGAAATTTCAGTACCCGAAGTCAAAAATATAGAAATACTTGAATTTTGAAAGATAGCATAATACCGAAATTTCGTGAAATTCCTCTGCTTGCTCTGGTTAGCGTAAAGCATAAGACACAAACATTTTTTCCCTCCCCCTTCTAAGTAAAACATTAGGACGGAAGCGAATCTCTTGACAGAAAAATCATGAGAAATAGAAAACAATAGAAACATAGCCTTCACTGATTTTCGTGTTTTTATTGTTGTTTACTCTCGGCGTATTGCGGTGTTTCATATTTTTCGTATTGCGGTGGCTCTAGAAAGGGGGAGGGGGACATCTTACGTAGTTTGCCACCATTATCTTTGATGCCACAACCTTTATATCATAATTTAGCGAAAAATGGGGGGCTACGGCCCCCAGCAACCCAGCTACGGTGTGCCTGCAAAAAAGTTACTGTTGGAAAACTTCTTAGCACGAAAAATCCAAAAAGACCCCGCATGATGAAATAGCGACATAATATAGAAAAAACTCTTAAAAAATACAACAGCGACTTTTTAAATTTCCAATATCGTTTTGAAGTTGGAACTAAAGAGGTACCCAAATCTGTCAACTCAAAAATTTCGCTTAAAATGAGTCAACATAGAAATAAAGAAGGCATATGCCTTGCAAGCATAAGCAAATTGCCGTGTCTGAGTGAGCCTTGTGAAATTGCATAAATAAACAAGGGTGTGATGAAATTATCTGAGGGGAAGAGATGTCCAGCAGAATCCTCTTAAACCAGGCCATGCAAATTTTATCATGCAGCCCCCCCCTCCACAAATTAGATTCAATCTACCACTATCTTTTGATGTTACTTTTTTGCAATGGTTCGCATTCGAAGACTCGAAAAATAGTTTTCGGTTTCAAAAAAATAGTATTGCTACCGCTGCACAATGGATTTTTTCTGGACTATCGAAATGCTGCACAACAAGAGAAAGGGGTAGCCTAATATAGACGTATTTCTTTCGCAACTTACAAATTCGACGTGTGGTATGGGGGGCGCTGCTCTGCGATTGCAAAAAAGCTTATATCAGGGTGAAGGCATAAAGTGGTAAGACTTTTCAGGTCAAACTAGGTTCAGTTCGAATTTTCTTGCAAATTTTTGAAAATCTGACTGCCTTAGGGGAGGCGTTTGAGGCGGCCTAGATCCGCCCACCTCCCCCCCCCGTGTTATATGTGTTGATACTCTAGAAAGCTGAAAATTATTCTATTCGATTCTGAATAAAAACTTCTTAAAATCGAAACAAACCTTGATAAACTTCCAGTTCACAGACTTGAAGATTCTCTCCTCTGTCGATAAATACACTGACGTATCTCCCTAAAAGGGGCTGCCCACAATGCATTTCTTTCATTTTCCCGCTTTCTACGTTCTGATTTGATACGCACAATGGATTTAATCGTCCACCATTCGTGCTGTCATTACCAACACTTATGCTGAATGGATTGATCTTTGTCTGTCCCCAAGTTGTTCCACTTCTAATGATAACCGTTCCTACATGCACACGATTAACAAGATCAACTTGCCACCAAGGCTGAGGATATGTTGTTGTAACTGCGCATACAGACCAGTCTCCATCTCTATTTCCATCGTTTCCAAACTCTGATACGAGATTTATACCGCTGTAGATATGTAGCGAAGACTGTTGCGATGGTTTTTTGTATGCCATGTTAACTGTTAAGAAGATGAAGTGTTAATTACCAAGCAAATTAAATAATCTGTCTAGAATTTACATTCATATCATAAAAGGGAAACTGAAAGAATCATAGACGCTTGGAATTTGAGAGATCAATAAATGAGTTTTAATGGAATCCCCGGACAAAAACAGACAGATCGGCCGCCGTGGAGAATGCTAGTAAAAATATTGAAACGCTTAAGAGACACACTCAAATTACAACTAGTCTTAAATTATGTTTGCGAGGAAATTCATGGTGCAATGCAAGTGGAAAGAAGAGCTATTTCTGGACTAGGCTTTTTCAGAGGCAAAACAGGCCTAAATAAGTATCTTGATGGAATAGGAATAACAGTGACATTTATTTCTCAAGAAACGGAAATGGATAAAGGGTCAAAATTTTTAACACAAAATTCTCCATGATAAATATTCTGCCAAGGAAACGAATATTGTGCAAAAGCACACCCTGATATATTCACGTTATAGAGTATATCATGGTTTAAAAGTATATGTTTATAAATAAAAATTGAGTACTCAATGCCGTATAACCAGAGATGTACACGCTTTTGATGTAAAGAACAGAAAGCTTCTAAGTTGCTACTTCCGAGTTTCAAGCTTGATGACATACATCTCAGAGCGTCAAGTCTTCTGTATTTTGCTTTAGGCCCCGTTCACATGGCTCCGGATTTAAATGAAAACGGATAAAAGTGTCCGTTTTCACCTTGCGTTCACACTGCTCCGCTGCAAAAACGGAGACTTCTAAAAACGCAAAACCCAGTGTGAACACCGAAAACGGATACTTTTGAAAACGATAGTAACAACAACAACACAGGAAGATGCTTGGATGGCTGATTCACTCGAAGTTAGCACACTATTTGGAGGAATATTAGTGGCAGTGGGTTGTTTGAAAAGTTTATTAGCAGTCAGAAGGTCTGTAAACCAGTTCGTTGCATTTTCCTTTTTATCCAGAGCGGAGTAATGTGAACGCTTCATCGTTTTCACACCGTTATCAAATGTATCCGGAGCAGTGTGAGCAGGTGAAATGGATCGATATGAAAACGGATAAAAACGAATACGGAGCAATGTGAACATAGCTTTAGTCAAAAGGAATTTCGGTGATTTTTAAGTCTTACGGCGTAAGTTGAAAATTTTACGTTCTTCCCCCACTTGCTACTCCGATTTTCACGCTAAATGCAGTCATCAGGCAAATTTTTTCATGATCAGTCAGTTAGAACCGTCACGTTCCATTCACCAATAGCGTATTTATAGTCACTCATCCCTCAAGGACAGTAAAAGAGTTTATTTTCTAATTTTTAATTACACAGTATGTCTAGATTGTAGTTGAATGCAAAAAAAGAATCGTGCCGTAGAACTTATAGGTAACAGCCATTGAGTTGACATATGGTTGAAAGATGGTACCAAATTGATTAAATGACATTTGTATCTGTTATTAATAAACATTAATTGACTCATGGCAAAAAAGATTTGGAAACACCCAGATAGTTTGCATTGTCTTTGCACAGATAGTTTGTAATAGCTCTACAAGCACGCCTTATCTTGATACGTTTCCAAGATCCAGTAAAACTTTTTTCTAGCTGCATGTAGCCGACAATTAGCCCTACCCTGTCTCAGGTACCGGAGCAGCTTAAATTTCAAGTTCCAATATGGAGGACCGGAGCAAAGCAGAGCAAAGGAGCATCTACATAGTTGAATCACTTTTTTCTTTCGTCTAAAAGCCTCTTTCCCAACTCTCTCCAAACTCTCTCCCAATTCTCTCCCAACTCTCTCCTCTAGTCTTTCATTCCCGCACTTAAATTTGCGTGGCTTTAGCACTCAGTGTAATTTTTTCAGAAAGAACATTATTGTTCTTTCTTTCATTGCATTTTCGATTCGTGAGTGCCAGGTATGAACACTTCCAGATATTCTATGTGATTTTTATAATTCCAACAAGAATACTACTGTATCAAGTTAGACTTCACGTCCAACTGATAATAAAATTTAATCTGTTAAGGGATGTAAGAAAACTGTTTGCCTGTTCCAAAATCACCCAGCTTTATAGGATCAATTGCATAAGTTAAAATGCATCTTCCAGCTCTATCGTACCGAGGTTACGATGAAGTTCTCGATTCCCCTCTTCAAATGTGGATAGAGACAGAACAACAATATTCCAACTGGTTTCGTATCCTAAAAGCTGACTTACCATCATGCTAAGATATTAAAAAGGGAGTTTATTTAATCGCAAATGTTTTTTCTATCATTCTAAATCTGATGTTTTTTGTTCTTTATTCAAACCTGAATATATTGTCAAAAAGTTGTGTCTGTATATTCTTCGGATTTCATTGGACATTCAAGCTTTTCGCATAATGCAATCATTTACAATTTACTCAGTCTTGGGGAAGTCATGCTTTGGCCCGTCTCAAGCCATAGTGCATATTGGGGTTTCCAGGTCCCAGTTCCGACAAAGTTGATGTGCCAGACATCACTTGCCGACAAGGCATCACATTCATTGAAGTAAGAAGTAAGAAGAGGCATCACATTCATTGAAGTATATTCTAGTATTTCGGAAAAGGAAAAGCTCTTTCAAGCAGCAGCAGCAAGCAAAATTTCTGTGAGCGATTTCATTCTGTCCAATTTGACATGCTCTTTTTATCATTGCAAAGAATCAATAATTTGGAAGCCGGTTCCACTCATTTGGAGTTAAAAATCACATAAACTATGTGTTACGAAGATCGAATGCTGCATTGGGTAATTTCCAGCGTTTCATTTTTCTTCTTGATTGAATTTCCACTTTTTTTATATTAAACGTCTTTTCATTACTCTTTCTGTGTTCACCTTGTTTTTTAGCTAAATATAATAATCTAACGACACTAATAAAGAAATTCAATGTATTATGTGCAATTGTCATTTCACCAAATGTGCAGTTGAATTAAGGGATTATTTAGGAAATTTAGGTCCTGCAATTCGATCAAAAGAGGTTCAAAAATAAGGAACTTCAGAACTAGGCTTTGAGCTAGGCTTCTAAAAAACCGTTTAATACTGTTAGAAGGCAATGGAAACGTTTAAGATATTTTTAATTCTTTAGTTTAAGATACTGTCAGTAACAACAGAATATGATTTGCTCAAAAAAATTTAATGCAAATAAACTCTGCTTATTTGCTTGGGGTAAAAATGCTTTTTGGGCAGTTTTTGAAAAAAATTTCATTTTCAAATTTTTGTGGGCTCAACTTGTTTTTTTCTACTCAAAATTCTCTACTTATGTCCAGCTCGTCTCTGGACTTACAGCAATCTTTCATATTTGAATACTTGGCCATAGTACCGTTGCCAAAGATAGGTTTGAGGGTATTTTCCTAAACGGTTATATATTTCATAAGTTTAAATGCGCACAATAGCCTCTGTCTGAATTTTTATGCTATTATCACAAAACAAGCATAACTATTGTCGGAACTTTTCCATTGCTTTCGTGCAATTTTCTTCTAACCATAATTGCTACACGTAGTTGGTGAATTATTTGCTATAAATACAGAATTGTGTAGTGATTAGTTGTTTTTCCTACGGTTCATTCAGATGGATCGCATGGTGATTTCGTTAGGATCGCGGGAGAACCCCCACATTGCTTGTTTACTCCATAACTTGGCTACAGATACATGTTTAGGTAAAATTAGTTATAAGCGTTCAGCGTGTTATAGGCATGCAGCGTTATTTCTACATAAAAATTGCCGTTAATTAGCTTTAGTTGACGTAAAACTGCACATGTTATTCTTGCTTCTTATTGGTAGTTAAAATTGGAGAATTTTTGTAGCGTTACTCAGAACCAGGGACTGTAGATTTAAAAGAGAGCGCGTTAATTGTGAATTTAGATGCATCGTAAGGTGTAAACACGATGGTTGATACCAATGAACAAGATAGCAGAGCAAATTTGTCTTGTTATTCTTCAGCGTTCATCTTTAGATGCTTCTAAAAATCTGTAGAATTAGCAACTGGGGAGTTTATAGTCCCAAAAACTATCATTATTTCGTCTGAATTTACAATCTGATGGTAGCTAGCTGTAAGTTTATATGTATAAATGTTGTTAAGATATAACAATTTACAAATTGAAAGTTTTCTTGAACAAAATATGGATAAAAATCCAAATTTGATTTGCAATCTTAAATATTAATGCATATGATAATAGAATGCTAATTCGAAAAATGCAGCGGATGAAAAATTATAAAGAACGAAAACAAACCTTCATAAACTTCTAGTTCACAGACTTGAAGCTGCTCTTTCCTGTCGATAAACACACTGACGTATCTCCCTAAAAGGGGCTGCCCACAATGCATTTCTTTCATTTTCCCGCTTTCTACGTTCTGATTTGATACGCACAATGGATTTAATCGTCCACCATCCGTGCTGTCATCACCAACACTTATGCTGAATGGATTGATCTTTAATTGTTCCCAAGTTGTTCCACTTCTAATGATAACCATCCCAACATTTACACGATTAACAAGATCAACTTGCCACCATGGCTTAGAGTCTAAGGTTATTGCGCATACTTGCCATGCTCCGTTTCTGTTTCCATCGTTTCCAAACTCTGATACGAGATCTATGCCTCCGTCATGGTCTATTGAAGACTGTTGCGATGGTTTTTTGTATGCCATGTTAACTGTTAAGAAGATGAAGTGTTAATAACCAAGCAAATTAAGTATACAGTAGAGAAGTTTCAGTCGTATGCAGTGAGAAAGTACAAGCTTCATATTTTTCAAGCAATTTAAAAGCAAAAACTGAATTTTCGATGCCTTAGCAAAAAGTATACGACTTAAATTTATAATATAATTCTTATTTGAAGTGATAACGAATTTGACTAACTAATCAGATATTGAAAAAATCCACTTTTAGCTCTCCTGAAAGACCTCTATCGTATCAAATTGATGCAAAACCGTTTATCAGAAATCATTTAATAACTCTATATATATATTTTTTCCAGTTGCATCAATCAAATATTCTACAATTCGTTCAGCCTTGCATTCTTTGTCTCAGTTTTTAAGTCTAGTTCTCTTTGTCTTCTTTGTCTAGATCTTTGTTCCTCCATTATATCAAGTTGTATCATCATTTTATCACCCAAGTAGATAGTGGTGGCGCTAGAGGGGTGGGCAGGATGGGCCACAGAGTCCGTCGGAGGTTTTTAGCCCCCTCGTTGGCAGGTAATCTAGAAAACCTTTACCTTTTTTGGAGCAAAATTTTGCTCTGCACGTAATCAGAAATTAAAAAAATCGTTTAATTTCTTGCAGCTTATCACAACAGGGCCGGCGAAACGTATTTGAAAGTGGAGGGGCCAAAATATCAAAGTCTTGAAAGGGCTTAGGAAAGGCCGCCACCATGGTTGGCGGCAAATAAATTTTTAGAATTTTGGTGTCTTAGGGTTCGCCAGAAAGTGTATCTAAAATGAATTTTGACTGAAGGTGTCGCAAAGTCGCGTCTATTGTGATGTTGACTCGAAATAGAAAAGCTTTGCAAAGTTTTAGAATAACAACTATCATATAGTTCGCGATGAAACCTTTTTTAGATTTTATAACTATCCGAAATAAGATGGGGGGAGAAAAATAATGAAACACAGATTAATAAAAAAACGTTGAAATATCGACAGAAGAACTATCTACTAAAAACAAAAAGTTAAGCAATTTTGTACAGTTAAGATATAACTTTGTAACATCTGATCTTAACTTTTTCGGAAATTAAGTGCTTTAACAAAAATTTGAAAAACCTTCAAACTGGGCTTGTCATAATGAGTTTAAATAGAATTTATAATTGCGTCGATATTTTCTCTTTCTTAGTAGGAATGGATTATCCATACGATCAAACTCTGAAGTTTTCTTGATAATACTTTTTAAGAACAAATCTGGCCATACTTTATTTCTCATATCCTCAAAAAGTTCTTTCCAGCCATTTCTTTTCCTTCAATAGCGGATTTCTCTCTTTTTTTAATGTTTCTGAGAAAGTTTTCTTTAACAAATAGACCCTGTGTGCCAAGTTTAGGCAATGGAAGAAACGAAACTCCGTCAATTTGTGCTGGCACCATGTTAATTTGGACTAGATTTCTCGATCTATTTGCTAAGCCAAGCTGTCACCCGTTGTAAAACTTAGACAATGACCGATTTCTTCGATCTAATTCCCATATTCAATTTTATTTACGTCTTCTATGGTAAAGAAATAGCAACCAAGGTAAAGCTAAGGACACATTTAAGAGAATACTAGGCAAAGTTACTTACAGAATCATATACCACATTTATTTTCACTTTTGCCTAAAATTTTTCTTTAGCTCTGCAGAAAAGTGGGAGGGCCATGCCCCCCCCCCCGGTTTCGCTGGCCCTGCCCAATAAGGTTAATAGTATTTTAGAATAAGCTCTTCGAGCGATGCTCCAAATTCAGTTTTGTTTTGTTTTTTAAAAATGCTTTCGTCGCGTTGATGTTCTCTATTTTACATTACCTTTATATGTTGCTTCACATCCCAGCTTTTTTTTTTTAAAGTGACTTGTAAACTTCTTTTTATACTGCTTGATGATGCTTGCAATTTACTGTGCTCATTGAATAGCAGACTTGAAAAGGACTTTTTTAGAAAATTAATTGTAGCTCGTTCGATGGAGTAAATATGAAACGAATAGACAACATGTCCCATCCACTTTTTGCAATATCTCGATATACCTTTTAGCGTCTTCTGCCTTTTCTTTTATTTCTGCTTCCCCATAAGCATTTGCTGGAATTCGTAGGGCAGTCGAATTTGCATTAATTGAACATATAGCTAAGGGCTTATACGGCTGTGAGCGTGCAAAACTCTGCATATACGACATCGAGCACCTTATGACGAACCGGTAAACAGTAATTTTCATAACTTAGTGTTTATGCTTTAATCATGTAAGCAAAGAAGGTAATCCATTTGGGTATTGGCAGATTGACATCCTAAGTATCACATTTGAAGCATTTCGTTTTGAAGTGTTTTTTCATTTTAAACATATTTATTCATGGTTACAGTTCAGAAAATATTTTCTGCTTTGCAATGGGCACTATTACAAACCTATTTGCAATATGGATATATCTAAACTAATTATAAAAATTTCAATCCAAAGTCATAAGAATAGATATAGCTTATGTTAGAATCCCTCGTAATTTGGCAATCTGAGTTTAAGACAGTGGAAAGAGGGTTCCAACTTTGTTTTTGAGTCTAGATCATTCCAAACTTTGATTGCACAAGAAGAGATAGATTTTTGTTCCGTTGATGTTCTCATTCGGAGTATCAACAGATCAGCACCATTGTTGTGTAGAGCGCGAGTATGGAAATCTGACAATTTGGAAAAACAAACACATATGTATTCAGGGGTTTTATTGTTCAGACATTTATAGGTTTTTGCTGGTGAATAGGATTCCAGATTCCAGGCCATCCTAGTTCTTGAATCGAAGATGCTGTGAATGTATCAAAAACACCTTTTTATCATCCTTGCAATTTTCTAACGTCTTCTCCCATGTCTTACCGGATTTGTCACTACTGATTGGGTGCAAATCAAAGTGTTGAGTGTTGGACATTGTACTTTAACATTTTCTAATATTATTAAAAAAGTGTCCTTTTCCCCGTACAATTGCATGTGGCACAATTTCCAAAATAAAACAAAAATATAAAAATTATATTGTAAAGTCTGATTTAATCGAAGCAGAGAGGAAATTTCTCTCTCTACGTGCCTCTCTAAACAAGATCATTCATTTATTTATTAATAGTTCTCAATTAATCATATGGTTACAATCTATTTAATTATTAAACCGAAAATTCCGATAAGTAACAGAAGTAAGGATAAGCGACTTCACGCTTCAATAAGAAAGAGATTATTTATTAGAGATATTGAAAAGTCAATGCATCTGTAGTGGATTTCTGTATCTAGATCTCAATTTAAATATTGAAGTTGAAATAACTTTTAAACGGGAAATTATGATATAAGCATATTGCTACCTACCAGTGCAAATGAACATTCCAGCTTTGTTAATGCATTGAGTTCCTAATGGACATCCATGCACTCCTGTGGTACATTCGTCTATATCTTGAAAAAAATCACCCTACATTCAGCGTGTTTTTTACCTAAACCCACAGTGTGTGTATTCAAATGAATATATATAGCAAAGAACCTATCAATATTTTGTCGAGCCTTTATCACTTGAATTCTTAATATCAAGATTAATATTGACCTTGAAAGCATTATTCTTAGCAAAAGAAAGAAACAGACCAACTGTGACTGCAAAAAGTTTTTAAAGAAAGAATATTTTTACTAACATATAGAAAATGCTTTAAATTAGTCCCTTAGAAAATCCGACCTTCCTTTTGCAACTGTTATTTGTAGTGGAAGCATAAGATAGATATAGCAAGTATTTATTAGGGAATAGTATTGCTCGAACAAGATGAAAAAGCTGAAATTGTATCTTTGCATCGAGCATTATAACGGCAGTTGTCTGTGCTATCATGACACTCATTTTTATAGGCAAAATATTACGTGCTATAGAAAATTACCTCAAGAGGCTATTAAACGGCATCGATGCCAAAGGATTTGAGAAAGGAATGAAGGAACGATAAAAATATACACGTTCTGATTGATGAAAAACGATAAGCAGAATTGAAATATATTATATCCAGTTTACAAACAGGGCAGATTCACTAGAGGAGAAAGAAGTGCAGATTTACTAGAGAAAGGAAGTAACTCATGGCAAGACTATATATGGTTTCACCAGAGGAATGAAACAAATGAACAAAGAATGAGCTTTTTTATCCCGGTAGAGAGCACCCGGCGTTTCCACTTTCATTCAGAGGTGTACCAAAGCACATCCGGTAAACCCTTGAAAATGGGGTGGTTTTTCTTAAAACCTAGGACAGTTAAGCTTTGAAAAAGAGGTACATTTTGAAATTGAAGAAAATAGCTGAAGAAAGGTGTATTTTTAAACCTATCGAGGTCAAGATTCCTCTTTGCTGACAGAATTTGATACGTATAACTAGAAGTCTGAACGTAATTTGGCCATAATCATAATTATGGTACCCCAATCGCACAACCTAAATTTTATACAAAACAACATTTGGAAGAAACAACATTTTTCATTGTACAAAACATTCTACAATGAAAAAAATGAACTGCTGCCCAGACTATGGTCCTTAATCTAACTGATCAAAAGTAGCTATTACATATTCATTGTTGATTGGGAGGTTTGTCCTCTCCCACAAGAATCGATTTTCATGTTTAGAAAAGAAATGGTTATACCAAAGCACATACCACTGCAGGCGATTCCACTTCCAGCATATCCGTCGTTGCAAGTGCAGTAAAAGGAACCCACAGTGTTTGTGCACAGTGCATCTGCGTGACAATTGTGTGTTCCATCTGTACATTCATTTATATCTAAAAAAATACAAAAATCATCATAAATACATCTCACTCCAACTGTGCTATTTTTAAGCGTCATTCTAGACATTTCAAATTCAACAATTAATGCAATTTCTTAAACATTAACTTTCATGATTAGAACAAGACATGCTAAACTCTATATGACATCAATCGATACAGTCGGTTCGTTAAAACGAAGCCATTTAAGAGAAATACGATAAATGTGATAAGTTTGAAAACGACCAAACTGTGATGTAAGATAAGTTGACTTGATTCTTTGGCTGGATAATTCGTTTTATCCTTACCTTAATTTGCTATTCTAGAAAAATATTTAAATTGATGTTTATGTTTCGACCACTCAGTTTTAAACAAAAAATTATCCAAATTAGCCTTTAGAACTGAAAACATAAATTTGGCAAAGAAATGCGGAAGCATAGCTATCTGAAGTTTTTTTGGTCAAGGACTCCTCAGAGTATAAGCGTCGAATAATGAGTAAGGTTCTTGAGTCCCATTGAACATATGGCAATGTTATCATCGTCCGGGAATAAAGAACAAATGACAGCGCAGCATTAAATGTTGCTTGTATATCCAGTTTCTTTGAGCATAGTTGATGATTTTTAGCGGAAATGTGAACAAATTTTATTCATTGAGCCTTTGTTGATTTCCCACAAGGATCGAGGTATCAAGGCTAATCTATCAAGTTACCTGTATGATTCTGCTATTTACTAACTAACCCCTTGTTTAGTGAAATTTTAATATTTTAGCAAATTTTGGCTTTTTGATCATTACATATTATGTACATATCTTCAAGTTTGAAAAGTTCACAAAATGAAAATGATTATTAAAAAGAATAAGAGGTTCTGGATGTAGTAATTCTCTGCAAAACAAAAGCTATAGCCGAATTGCACAATTGCCTGCACACGAGCTAACACCATTTCCACTATAGCCTGGATTACACATGCAAGTGGATGAACCAATGGTGTTGTCCGCAACAAGCATTGATATCACAGTTCTGTGTGCCATCTTGGCATTCATTCGAGTCTGGGGCAAAGAAATTAAAATACATTTTATCATGATACATCTGAACTTTGGGTAGTACAAAATTTGAAAATAGCTTTGAAAAAAGGAAACATTTCACAACAAACTAAACGATTTTTGTGTTTGAAAATTCTCAGAGTATAAAACGTCAAAATATGGTTTCGAAAGAACAAGATGGTAAATAAATATCCAGTTGTGAATCAAAATAGGCCAATCGATTAAAGCGAGCACATGACTAGTATAGTTGCCCAATCAGTATAGCATGGCAATCGGAAAATCAGCATTGGAGTCCAAAAGAAAAAACGAACTCCTTTTATCTACACAAAAGCTGCTTTTTCGTTTGTATGTAGATCAATTCCAAAAGGGTTCGATGAAAAGACGACCTGGCTATGTCGTTATTATAGACTTTGTCATTAATTGAATTATCTAGAAGATGTTTCAGTTTTGCTTCTTTCGTCCTATCCCCCAATCTTTTATCCTATCATACGTAACCAAAATCACATTGGCACGTAAATTCATAAGCAACGGAACTCTTTTGGGTTGCAGGGACGCAATCCTTTTGAAAGAATGAAAGGGCTCTCTTAGTGCTGTAAATCATACGAAGATCGACTGCAAAGAAACATTTTATATGTTAAACAGGCCATAATAAATATATCTCTTGAGCTGAAAAATTTTGAAATTTCCCGAAAAGTGGGAACCATGTGCGTTATGAAAGTACCATTTTCGACAAAAAACGTAGATCTTAGAATTAGTCCCTGGAAGCTGTATAATTTAGGAAAATTGTAGGTTATGGTTAAGGCCAAGAGGCCAAAACATGATATGCTTATCATCTTCGGCGCTCTGTTCATCAATTCCTCATTTATCTTAGTCTTTTCAATTTATGATGAATTAGATTTTCAAAAGTTGAGTATATTCCTGTGCTAGGTAAAACGATACACAATCAAAATTTTTTGCAGTAAACTTCAACAGGTAATTTATGACATTTAAGCATTTGGTTGTATCTAGGTTTTTTTAAGCATTTAAAAATTTACCTGCACACGTGACACCATTTCCACTGTAGCCTGTCTGACAGTTGCAGTTGAACGAACCATCAGTGTTTGTACAATCTGCATTGGTATGACAATTGTGTGTGGAAACTAGGCATTCATTCACATCTATAGGCAAACAAATTTGTTGAATTGATGTAACTTTGCATGCAAATATTAAATAATGTATCTTCTAGAACAAAAGCAAATGTTGATAAAAATAAGATGCAATCTATTTTAGTTAGAGATAATCAAATAATGTAGAGACAATTCTTAACATAACGTGATCTGTTGCCCATTTGATTGTCATACAAAATGATGTTCTTTTAATATCTTTATCATTATCATCTTACATAACACTATTCAATTACCATTACTGCAAATTATATATTGCAATTATACTTAAATTAACTGGAATAACTATAGACATAAATTTACATAAAGTTGATGCTACTTTTAAAAATGAACTAATAACTGAATTTGAACAACAATATTTTTTAGAAAACTCGCATTTCTTATATAGGCCTATATTCAATAGTTTTCGACTGGTTTCGATTCAATGTTATTATACCAAGCCAAAACAACAAACGTTGTTTGGGAATACAAAGATGGTCCTGTTTTTCTTCATTTACTGTGAGCTATAAATTAATATTAAGAGCGTTGACACTAATCTTCAAGAGAAAGTCTGGCAATCCCCTCTTCTTTTACAAACTATGTCAGCTTTTTTTATGAAATAAGGTAATGGAATTGAAAATAAGTTTGGTCAACATTGGTTTGTTGGAAGCTGATGATATTTTATAAAAGAATTTAAAAAAAAAATAAAAAATGCAACACCAGTTGCTCTGTGTTCCAAGTAACATTTGAAGGAATTGTATATTGTGTTTTGTGGCACTTTTGTCTAAGATTGTAAAAAACTTTAACACAGTATATTTTTGCTTAATAATCACGTTTGATATATATTCTGCGCATGGCATGGGAACTTAAGTATTGAGGTAGATTTACCAATACACGACTTGATGCCATCTCCACTGTAGCCTGCCCAGCACTCGCAATAGAGAGAGCCAAAGGTATTTTTGCAATATGCTTTTGTATGGCATTGGTGTGCTCCATCAAGGCATTCGTCGATATCTGGAAGTATTTGCAACAAAAAGAAATTTGCTATCTACCAAGCATTGAACAGAGTTAGAGGCTTGAGTTTTCAATAATGTAGCTTTACTCAATATCAGCAGTTTTAATGCCACGTAAAAGGTGGAAAACAGGACGCTTTTACTTGAGTATGCTTTTCTACCAACATCTTCAGTGTTTAAAACGTTTGATAATGCAAAAAAAAACATAGACAGTGGCGGCGCAAGCTATTACAGAGTGGGAGGTTTATGGGCGTGGTAAGCAAAGCCACGCCCCTTTTACCTCGTTTCAGTGCTTTGCACCAGGTTAACTTTCTTAATGAAATTTTATCTACCCCTACCCAGCGCTTTTGATCCGATTTTAGAAGAAATAGGTAGACCATTTTTTCAGAAAAGTGAAGGGGTAATTACCCCTCCTACCACCCCTTGGCGCCGCCACTGAACATAGATATATATTGTTTCTTGCAAAGGTTTTTTTTGCTTTGAGAAAGAGAATCAAGTGCTTTGATATTGAGAAACACAAAGTTATGGCAACATATAATTCATACAAAGTTTACAGCAAAAAAACTCTAAAATTCCAGATCAATAAAAAGGCTGGTTCCTTTCTGTGCAAACGTTGTAGTGGCAACAAATAATTGAAACGTACAAAATTTTAAAAAACTCTAAAATTTCAGGCCAAATTAAAATTGTAGTTGCATTCTTTGCAAGAAGTAATGTTACTGCTTCTTAAACTTTCTGTTTATTAGTAGTAGCAGTTAGAACTAGTTATATCATTGTGAGACAGCTTTTATTCAATTAAAATGAAAAATAATTGCACACAATAAGAGATTTACTATTTGGTCTAGTGTAGAAAAGCATCGATATTCTCGTCCTTTTGTCATTTTGCAATACAAAATCCAAAAATCAAAATATAGGGTATTTAATGAGATACTTTCAAGTGTTTGGACACAGACGCATTGCTTTCATTTTTACGATCTTCCCAACACCATCAGCAAATAGAAGCAAAAATAGTTAAAGCAGGTGCACCCTCAAAATCTGTGACTTATCATATTCTTCATTTTCTGCTAAACATTTAGCAAAATACTAAGGCTGTTAAGGAAGACTTCTACATTCAAGTACGTATACCATCTTGATTTCTACACTTTGTATCATTCAAATGTTGATGTGAATATATATTGATTTGGAATTATTTAATGATTTAGTACTCGTTGATAAGAAGTGAAATATTTCGGTTTCCATCCTGCCATTACCTTGTTCACAATGGATCCCTGTGTAACCTTGAAAACATTGGCAGACGAAATTCCCAATCTGGTTCGAGCATGTACCACCATTAAAACATGGAAGACTTGCACATTCATCAATATCTGTGGAAATAACTTTTTTTAAATCCAGGGCGCCTTTAAAACCAATCTTGACTGAATGAAAGAATACCTAATTTAACTTTACTTGAAATTTTCAAAAGTAGAGAAATGCCTGTTACAATATATTTGACTATCTTCCTAAGTGAAAAACCATGCAGTTATGAAAAGCTCTAGCCCGCAGGCCAAGGTACAACCCTCAACCCGATTTAAAATGACCTCATCGAGGTTAAACTGTAATAAAAATAGATACTTGTCTTTTCAGCAAAAGGCCCTTGTTTAGTTTGATGCTATATCTTAATACAGATCATATCCAGGGTCTGGGTTAACGAGTGAATCACCCGAAGCCAATGTATACACAGCCTATGAGCTCGCCTGTGTGCATGCAAACGCATATAGCTGTTTTGTTTTCTCGAAATAGATCGGAGCTTTGATAGGAATTTTATAGAATGATCTGAAACTGATGATGAGGAGTACCAATTACTTGGACTATAGTTGTTTCGATCTTCATAAACCAACGAGCCTGGGATTCGGAGGGGCTTTCAGAGGTAGAACACTGGTAGTTCTTGCAATTATTTGAGGAAAATTGTTGCGAAATTTTTTTTAGCAACAATTTCGTGTCGAATATAATCTACAAAATATGGCCAGATATCTGAAACCAAACAGCTACCTTTCGCACCTAACCTTTAAAGCCTTACAATTAAAGCCTGACGTATGCCCAAGACTAGCGTATGAGCAAGACAATATTTCATACTGCTTTATGGTGATGTATGGTTAGCAAATAACATAAATGTAGCTAATTTATGTTGATAAGGGACTAGTAAACAATTGTGCCAAGGGCTTCACCAAGTCCCATGTTTATGTGTCTACGGCAACTTTGAAGACAGAAACGTATCCGTTAGCAGTCTTATCAAATGGAGTATTGCAATTTATTATAAAAACGATATAAAAACAACCCTTAAGTAATATATATTATCACACAGCAGGTAATATCCTGACAAGAATTTTGATCAAACAAACTTTTGAGTAAATAAACAAGACTCATACCGATATCACAAATTTTCCCTGTATATCCCTCAAGACACGTGCATTCATAATCCGAACTTTTGTTCAAGCATTGTGAAGCATGTTTACAAGGGTTGCTAGCACAGGCATCCACGTCTAGGAAAATTAAAAAATTATTCTCTTCAGGAATTTCTCTATAATTAGCTTAATAAAATTTAGTCAAAAATCGAATGCTTTGTAAAATTCTTTACCAAAATTTTGAATTTCAAAACGAAACAGATAACTAAATATTACCTAAAAAATCCGTAGTTCTTTGGTAGAAAAATCGGACGGGCTAATGTTTTCAAATTTTCGACTTAATCATCTTCTTCTTGCATTCAACGCATAGGCAAGAACAACAGCTTTATTTCATAAACCTACCTGCCTGCTTTATACACTTGAGCTCAGGATAAAGAGATTGACAATGAATGCACTCATAGAAAGGCGGGCTGCATGTATCCAGACATAAATCTTCCGGATCGCAAGGCTTCAGGCTGTTGCACGTTGGCCCAATCTTAGAAAGTTAAAAAATTGTTATCAGCAAATAACCCCAAAATTGGCATTGCTATGCTATGCTATGCTATGCTATGCTCTGCTATGCTATGCTATGCTATGCTATGCTATGCTATGCTATGCTATGCTATGCTATGCTATGCTATGCTATGCTATGCTATGCTATGCTATGCTATGCTATGCTATGCTATGCTATGCTTAATTAATCAACACTTACAAGTTTGTTACTGTAGTTGGTTGTTTTGAAAATCCAACCATTGGCATCCAGTAAATCGGTGCTATTATCCTGTTGCACATGCTTTTGATGAATTTCACATGTTTTGTCCATCCATTGATAATTGTATGATGTACATTTATGGTTTTCTGCGCATTTCAACGTGCAACCTTGGTCATCAATACTGTTGAAAACAGCCAGACCGTTTCCTTGTAAGCGTTTGTCAAAAAAAACAACATCAAATACAGCATCAATCATGCACGGGATACGTAGAATTCTTCCATTTACTGAAAGCAAGGAATTGAGCGCCAAAAACATCCTGTAAATAGAAGCATAAAAGATTCAATTCTCTAAGTTTGTTGATGAAATTATTTCGAGAGAATTTGCGAATTAAACTTATCGATGCTGCCGCATTCTCCAATTTCACTAATTTTGTTATGTACTGGATTGTTTTCCTTACAAGGCAAAAACTAGACGCAGATTCTTTAGATCCAATTTAAATGTTCAATCAATTTTGTCAAGGCAGTTTTGATTATCAAATCGCCAAAAACCTTTTTGTTTGACTATAAAAAGCCATATTCAAATGTTCTCTTGAAAGAGTTGATATTTTTGTATATGTTACATCCTGAAATATAGATCTGGACTTTCAGAACAACTCGTTTTATAATGATACCTAACCAAATTAGAATTTATAATTAGCATATCTATGTTTGTCAGTCAATATAGAAAAAGCCTTTTGGTGCATCTTCTTTACGTTTAACATATGTTTAGTTAAAAGCATATTTTGTTTGAGCGTATTTTGTTTAAGCATATTTTGTTGTTTAAGTATAGCTAATCTTTAAAGCTTACTGCTTGAAAATTTGCAAAGCAAAAACTTACCTTAATGCTTTTTCCATTGCTTTGAGCTGGAGAAAAAACACAAGGTTATACTAATGAATACTGGTAAAAATATTTCAATTTTTAGCTTATATTTTTTTTAAATGCTCCACTTTGCTGTTTCGTTTATCAGTTATCTTTGCTGGCACTAGTTATTTTTTTTTCTGGCACTGATTAAGAAAAAAATTGTAACTTAATTCCTGCACGAAATGTATACGAAAACATTCAATTAATTCATTAAAACAAGGGGTGGCCTCACTCATTTGAAATTTTCGCTCACTCGTCTTTCCAACTAGTAAGTGAAGAAAATAAGGATTTTTTTACGGTGGTAACGTTGCAGGTGCTTCAACCATTTGCGAATCAAGAACTGGCCAATCACTGAGGGTGGTACCATTCAAGCATATTGATTGGCTGATTTTGATTGACAGTTGACTGAAGTTGATTTTGATTGACAGTTGGAACCGTAAATTTTTATCGTAAATTTGACAGTTGGAATCGTAAATTTTCACCTTCTTTTCAACATCACTCTCGATCCAAATCAAAATAAGAAGTTTCGCTCGTCCTATTTGTTTTTACTCAGACCTTTCGTACAATGATTAGTTTTGGAGAACGATAATCTGATCCTACATTTTTGCTTTCCCGTGGTATCTGAAGTTTCTAGCATTATTTTTGTAAGGAAAACCTGAATGAATGCTTTAAACTATTTACGTGTCACAATTATCAGGTTTTCATCAAGTAAATTTAAACAATTTTCTGTACAAAATTTTTGGTACTTAGTCAAAAGTTTTGATTAATGTGAAACTTTTTACATCCAGATGAATGGCTTACCGTATAAGCATCCTTATTTTCCATGCCAAAATATACAACTATAAATCCACAATGACGATAATATGGAGAACAGATTAACATGAAAACCGTAAAATACAAAAAAGGAAAGCAATCAACAATACTAGGATACCATTCAGGAAGAAAAAATTATAAATTAAAACGAGGAATATTCGTTGACACCTTTTCATTCGTTTAGTCATTTCATACAATATGTCAGCACAAACTAGATTTGGATTGGCTTTTAGGTAAAATAGCAAAGGAAACACAAACTTTCAGTTCTTGCTTAAATAAGCCGTAAGACCCTGCAAACAACAACCTTCCTAATTAAATCATATTCTTGTAAAAAACTACTGTAATTTAATCTTCTTTAACATTAAAGCAAACATTTTTCTAGCTTGAAGCTAAAAATTCACTAAACATGAAAAATCAAAGACTTGTCAAATTTATGCAATAGGAAAATTCATTTAAAAATACATCTAGAAACCTTTTTAACTTTATTTGTTAACTTGCTTTAATTCGACAATCATTATAAGCTACCAAACATGAACTTGTCTAATTTGATTATTTACAAATATACCTTGTGATAATTTCACTACCTTTCACCTGTGCACAAAGCCACCTCTTCTGTTGATGACACCAAACATATGACCAGTTAGAGTATACAAAATCAACATGTATCGTAAATTCAAAATGAATTTGTCGTCTATCATTTTATGTAGCCACCTGTAAGACTCATAAAAATTTTTGGTTGTTTTCCTTAGTTAGTATTCAATATTATAATATCAATTAAGTGTAGATTGAGACATTTTCAAATGCTATTGAATAGAAAAAGCCACGACGCCAAAAACTGTTTCAAGATCTAACTCTAATAATGCAGAAGAAAACACGGGGGGAGTTAAATATAGATGATTTGTTAATATTGAGCATAAAATCTGTCGACATGTTAAGCCCAATCTCCAGTGAGAAAAAGTCTTGCGAAATTTTGCTGCGAAATACTTCAACGCGACAAATTCCTTTGAATGCTTTTGTTGACCTCACGACATTGGAATGTAAAGTTTGTAAGCGTGACAAAGGAATACGGAATATGATTGGCTGTTGAAGGATTTCGCAAGCGAAAAGCGAAAAAAGTTAAACTCATTTTAACTTTTTTTCGCAGAGAAATTCTTCGCGAGAAATCCCAGCAAAAGATTAATGCGCATGCCTAAGACGTATTTCGCACGAACTTTTTCGCATTTCGCAGTATTTTTTCTCACTGGAGATTGGGCTTTACATTAGACTTATCATATGCAGCGGCTGTTTTAGAGACTGCCGGCCCCGGGGCCGAAAACATCTGCATGGTTGATGTTCTCGTTACAATTTTCTGTTATTAGTCTTATGTTCGGGGCTCCTTTCGGCTACCATAAGCACTGGGGCTGGGGCTGTAGCTCTCATGGTATCCCTTAAAACCAGCACTGATTATATGATCTCTAGGCAGGGACTGCCTTGAACTCACTTCATTTTTGGTACTGTTGTTCTGTAAGACGCAGCTATGCTTTTGCGAAATTTAGGGATAGGGAACTGTCATAAAGAAGCTAGAACTCGCAAAAAAACGTAAAATAGCGCCAAAATCTGCAAGCGTGAAGAACAAAATTACACCAAAAGACAAGACGCATCACGTTGCATTTGGGTCAAAATGAGTCGTCGTCGTTGTATGACACTGACATCTAGAGTTCTGCATCGTAAATATTTACCAGCACAAATTTTAGAGTTGCTGTCAGACTTTAGAGTTGTAAATATTCCTGCGATACATTTAGCAAGTTCGTCGTGGTATTCCCTTGCACCGAGCAATGACGATTATTTATCATTATAATATTAATTCTATGATTTAAAGTTGGCAGTTAGAATCTATATCTTAAAGCTAATTAAGGAATCTATTTGAACAAAATACATAAAAATAGATTTAAAATGAATAAAATTAGAAAATACAATTTGTGATGAGCCCAAGTCTGGACATAATATCTTAGGTAATCTGCAGTTGCAAGCTTGCCATTTCTGGTCTTTAATGAATTTGTTGAACATCTGAATGGAGTCTGGATTTTTCAATTTTTGTGTTACTCATTTCTGCAATAAATGAAAAAAAAGAATTGAACACAATAAAAGCTTTCAAAAAGCAGAAATCTTTGTTGAAACTGTTGCGTGGAGCCAAGCGGGAGTATTGAAATGAAAAAAAAATTTAAAAAAGTGAAATCTCTCTTTTCTTGTAAATTTAAATCTCTACAAGTGTAACGTTGCTCGAAAATGACAAGATATTTTCTGATAACAAAGCAGATGCAAATATTTTAACGACTTTCTGCCAATAAAACAAGCTCTCTAAGTATCGATTTTCAAAGAATATGATGCTTCCCGCAAGAAAAATTTCAGACCAAAAATGTTCTGTTATCAGTCTCCAAGATTTTGATTGACACATGTATAAGCAAATAATGTCCTTTGTTGAATGTTTTTGTCTCCCCTGCTTTGCGCCTTTCAGAAAAGCTAAAATACACAACAAAGGCTTCTGAAATTTGGAAAAATTTCGATGGATAACGAAGGCTTAGCTGACGCACTTCTGACGGATTTCTCCAAAGCCCTTGACTGCCTAAATCATGAGCTACTGTTAGCAAAACTGCATTTCACCGTGAAAGAAACATGAGGAGAAACTGTCCTGACGACAATTCAGCATTAACACGACTCATTTCTGATCCTGATGCCGCATGATGACGCTGATGCCGCTGATGACCCTGATGACCCCAATGACATTGATATTCCTGATTACCCTGATGATTCTGATGATCCTGATGACCCTGATGACGCTGATGACCCTGATGACCCTGATGACCCTGATGACGCTGATGACCCTGATGACCCTGGTGACCCTGATGATGATGATGATGCGTCTTATGTGAAATAGCCATTCGCAGAAAAATCTTGGCCAGGCTGTAAAGACATCTAACTTATAATTACCCTGGGTAACAGAGCCACAAAATTTCGAGCACGTAAACAGAATGCCAAACTGAGAAGCGGAGATGCAGACTTTTCTTTAGATCAGTGCCCTGAGCCACTTTTCCTTCTTCTTAGATAGAAGCCCCTCCGCTTCTCCACTCCTATCCTCTGTTTCCTTTCGAATTTATGTGGCTCCGGTACCCAGGGTAACTTATAATAGACCCGTGAGATAGGTACATAAAGACTGGTCGACTAAACAGACAAAATGCACGAGCTCATTTTGCTATGTTCCACCAAAAATCTTCTTGATTTTAGATATGCTACTGCACAAGTGTGAAACTATATGAAGCTGTCAAAGTTGAACGTTCAACTCCTAAAACTGTTTTCGTTAGTAAAACTGCTTTTTCTTAAAAAGTTTGCTTTCTCTATTACATATTTATTTAAAAAATACTTGAATCCGAAAATTCAATGTTCGATAATCAATAATAACCTCAAAAACGTTTACTAAAATAGCTACGTTATCATGTGTCCCTAGCCACAAAATTTCGAGCGCGTAACAGAGCAGTTTCTAGATAGGAAGAAGGCAAGCGCTCCTCCGCTTCTCCATCCCTTATTTTATATTTCTGTGATCAAATTAATTTGCCTCTGATACCCAGG